CAATACTGCTCAGAACGTCAAGGTCATGAAAGACAAAGACGGAGGAACTGTAACCGCTTGAAGGAGGCTAGCAAGAAATGATTGTTAATCAAATCAGGGGTCACAGTGTGGACCCCGTGCCAGAAGAGGACATTAGCATCGTGTTTAGTGGTGTGTCAGGGTTCTCTCCCAGTTTCAGTGACTGTGGGCGCTGCGGAGGCTACAGGGAAGGGGCGGGAGAACAAACTGTACTGACTTCATAATATCTTATGAGTCTAAAATAATTCCAAACACTGTAGAAACTGAAGGCAAAATACGCTTTCAGTTGAGAGCTGAGGGAATTTGCCACCTGCAGACCTGCACTACCAAAAAAGGGCACTAATTGAAATCCTGCAGGTCGAACAAAAATAAAAGTAGACAGAGCCCAGAATTCGGAATGCAGAGTGTCGGATGTTAAAGATATGTGGTAAGTATCAAAGCCAAATACAGTCTGTTTTCAGGTTTTTTTTTAAAAATAAGCAACTTTTCATCAGACATGGGTATACATACCTTTAATTTCAGCAGTCAGGCGGTTTTGGGCACTTGAGGCCATCTTGGACTTTATGAGACTAACAAAATCAAACAATTTTTGAAGCATAGAGAATAATATGTTGCAGAATCAGCAGTAAAATACATTGCAAAAGCATGTAGTTGGAGGATAGGGACAAGTCTGTGCTGTTTTAAACTGCTTGAATTGTCTTAAAAATATGGTAATAATTAATGGTAAATATGATAAGTTAAAGATGTTCTGAAAAACCTAGACTATAGGATTAGGATTAAGAACTAAACACATTTTTAAAATGGATATAGTTAATAAAACCTAAAGAAGAGACAAAGTAATGTTGTTTAAAAATTCAATTAATCTAAACAAGATATAGAAGTTAATTAGCAAGAGTCCAGACCTAAATCCCGGACAATATTATACACTAAGTGTAAGTAGATTAATTAAAAGGTACTGGCTATTAAGCAGGAAAAGGACAATAACCTGCTCTCAACAAAAAGGAATCTTTTAAACGCGGATAGTTTGAAAGTAAAAGAACAGAAAAGTCTATCATAGAAATACTAAGCCAATAAAAACTGGAAGGTACCTGTCAGTTTCACAGAAAGCAGACTTTAGGACAAAAAAAACATTAAGGAGTCTAACCATTAAATTAAGAAAGTTTCAAGATACATGCAGAGAACACTGACAATTTAAAGAAGAAACACAACTACAACTATTGTTGGAAATTTTAGTAATTAACAGAATGCAGTAAATCAGTAAAGGAAGACAGAACACTACGAAGAGCTAATTTGACCTGACATTTACAGAATGCTACATCAGTCACCCCAGAATACAGATCATTTCAAGTGCTTGTAAAATGCTCATCAAGACAGACAACATACAGAACACAAAAAAGTTTTCAGCGTGGTTTAAAAGATTGAGGGGCCAGCAAGATGGCTTAGCAGGAGAAGGCCCTTGCTGCCAGGCCTAACAGCTGAGAACGGACAAGGTAGGACGTGAGAAGGTATTCCAAAAGAGCGTTGTCCTCTGACCTCCACACACACTGTGGCAGGTGTATCACCCCAACACTGACGCAGGCAAATAAAGGTGTAATGAAAAATTTAATCATGCCATATCAAAATTAAAGGGCTTAAGATAATAAAGAATATAGTTTCCAACATTAACAAAAGAAAACTGAAATCAGTAACAGAAAGTATTTAGGAAATATAAAAATAACTCTAAAACTAAATAATACATTTAGAAACAGCCCACGAGCAGAGGAGAATTCTCAAAGAAAAGCAGAGAACACGAAGTGATAATAAAAACACAAAATGTGGAAGCCTCTGAGATGCAGTCAAAGCATAGCGTACAGGAAAATGTGTTGTCTTAAGGTTTCAGCTGGGAGGAAACCATCCAATAGAGGCCCCGCCTCAAAGCACCATGGAAAGACAGAACTAACTCTGACCTTGTACAGACCTGGCAGAAATGAAGAGACTCAGATCATTCCATCTGACTGGTTACTGACACAATGGACCCAGGAATCTCGATCTGGGGGAAGGAAAAGAGCCAGCCAGAGGGGCACCTTTTCTCTCAGAAAGAGATTTCACGTAGTCCTAACAACTTGTAGAGCACCATGCAGAATGAAACTGAAGCACAGACGATGACGGATGGGTCAGTGCTGGGCAGGACCACAGTTTGACAGGGCTGCTCATCTGTGCACATCCTTGGCCTGCTACTTAAACTTTGATCTCACTTCAGGACCTTTGAGGGTTTGCTGGATCTCTCTGCCCTTCCCCCCCAGTGGGGCCACACTGAATAAGTTTCCATCCATTTCCCCCCTGGCCTTCAATGTTTAATTTGGTTCTTTTAATTGGCTTGCTGAGGAGGGTTGGATGGGCTTGCCTGGGAGCACAGTTTTGGGTAACACCATGCTACATTCATGCCTACTGCACTTATATTCTCACACAGACAATAATAATGATTTTTCAGTATTTAAATATGCTATCAGCCATGGTGGTATACATCAGCACTTGGAATTAAAGTGACAGGTGGATCTCAGTAAGCTCAAGACCAACCTGATATACACATGAAGTTCCAGGACAGCCAGGGCTACATAGTTGTACCCTGTTTTAGGAGAAGGAGGGGGGAGGAAAAGGAGGATAAAGAGAAAAAAGATGAACAATATTTTAAATATTAAAAGGTACACGAAAAGGAAACATGACTAAATCAGAGCATAGTGGCCCATGCTTGTAATTCTAGCACTCAGGGTAAAGGAACTAAAAAGGAATACGGTCATATCCACCGGAAGAACCTCTAAAATGAAAAGGCCTCACAATGTCAGGCAGCTACAGCTGTCAAATCCAGTGGGAGAGAGGAACTGCTACTTTGGAATTGCTGGTGAGAGAGTTGGAGATTTACAAGGGTGGCAAGACCCTAAGATTCCCAGGAACGCATGCATATACAGGTTAATGGTCAGGGCAGCTTTGCCTCACAGCCAACTAGAAATACCCAAGTTTCCAAATACGCCTCAAACGCAGGCTGGGTAAGCATCTAATGGAACACCCACACCCATCAGCAATAAGAATACAGAGGGCAAAGCTATGCAATGAAATGAACACGGTTAGACCTCAAGACACTATTGATTTCTCTGGTTTCCTTTTCTATTTGCACTGAGAGAGGAGTGAGGACTGAGAGGCCTCAAGGACACACACAAGGGCTTCTGGGGACGGGTGGTTGGCGTGCTCGTCTCACTATATCTTCAATACAGCTGGATTTGGTCTTAATTGGTTTAATCTTAACATAGAGCGTTACAGAGATCAGGGGGGAAGGGGAGGCAGGACCAGACGTGAAAATGGAGGCGCTGAGAGCTATTTTCAAAATTAACTTTATTGAAGCAAATTTTACACACAATAAATACACCTGAGTCAACAGATCCACAGATCCACATGTCCATCATCTATAGATCACCTATCATCTATCTAGCTATCCATCTATCATTTATCTATCTATGTATCTATTTATCAACTATATCTCATCTAACTATCCATCAATATGTATCATTTATCTGTCCATCCATTTATCTATTCATCTATCATCTGCAATCTATCCATCTATATTTTATCTATTATTTATCTATCTATTTATCTATCCATCCATCTGTACATCTATTATCCATCTATCCATCCATTTATCTATCTGTCATCTATCATCCATCTATCTACCATCTATTTGTCATCTATCTATCATCTACCATCTATCATCATCTATCATATATCTATCCATCTAACATTTATCCATCCATGTGTGTCTGTCTATCTATCTATCTATCTATCTATCTATCTATCTATCTATCTATCT